CCCTCGCCACACCAATATTATTCTGAATAGTTCCCTAAACAAAGTTGCATAGAGTTAATTTAACTAGAATTGAACACAATAGTTTCAAGAAGGAATTTCAAACATGCGGAAAATGGAAGCTTATATTTTCTCAGTCGATATTTTAACATTTCATGTTGGCATATACTAATCTACACAACTCTATATTTGATGTTAATATATTCAAAGGTATGTTTACATTTTCAACATTTGACTGTCAGTTATTTGTTTGTCTAGGAAATATGTTATAAAGATGAAAGAAAGCAGGCTGACTTTTCTCAAAATTTGAATTCATAATTTAAGCATTTTTTGTTAAAACTTTTATTTTCTACTTTTATCATCAGTTATAAAGTTTCATATTTTAATTAAAAAGTATTCAATTTCATCTTTAGTTTCTGTTTACTTCTCAAAATTCAAAATTCTCAAAGTTTGTAAATTAACTCGGTAAGTTTAAAAGATCCTTAGAAAATAATATTTTCACTTGAAATGCTATCTTTGCCAAAAACTGAAAACTCCGATTTTCCATTCCTTATATTTTTGCAACCTAATGTCGAACACCCTCGTTATTTCGAACAATGAATTATGTTAGATCAAATAATTTAGGTTTGAAATATCAAAGATTGCACAGATATATAGAAATTAGAAAATTTTTGTTTGTGGCAAGAACTCAATTCCATTCCGATAACAGCATTTTTACTGAATATAACAGTCAGTTTTTAAGTTCATATCTTTAAAAAATCTCAGGTTTTAATATTTTGAAAATAATATAAATTTGTTGAAGGATTTACTGACCTTATAGAAAGGACTGAGATGCTGTAAAGAATACATAAGTATTTCACACACGCTGAAAATCAGATCAAACACTGCCTGAAAAAAAAACATATATGAAAGGGACTGTAAGCGTAATTCTAAGTGACCCTACATGTAAAGACGACAATGGCTAATTCACAACAGTACCCTTGATCAATCATGTGTTTAAGATATTGCCGTTTTTAAGGTTTAAAAGTGCTTAATTATGATAATTTCCTGTATACTCTCCCGCCGTAGAAATGCACGAATCCAGGCGCTAACTGGAGGTCAGCCTACACTATAAAATTAAGCGAGCAAAGTTGGATCTTTTTTATATTCCAATCAATATTTTTGTAAATAATATTCATTATTATTTAAT